TGAGACATAAGAGCCTTAAGTATTAATCTTTCATTTTCATCGACGACTCTCATAATCTTATCTTTGATCGACACTTTATAATTCTTTTTGACCAACTGTCCTATACTGAGTAAATTGCTCTTCATGCCTGGTATGTACAACACATTGGAAATTACTGACCTCTTGTCATCTTTCCTCATAATCATAACATCACCAATACCTTCACCTGCTAAGGTATTATCACTTGCATATTTTACCATATTTTTCATTGAGGGCTTTATGTTGACAAACCAGTCTTTCCTTCCAGACATATGTGATGAGCATCCTGAATCCAAGTACTATTGATCCTTGAATCTATCTTCATCTCTTGTTGTGACCATCAACATCATCTCTTCTTCTTCTTCATGTTTTGCAAACTTTATATCACTTTCTTGATTATTTCGTTTTTCTGGACAATCACTCGAATAGTGACCATACTTCTGACAATTGTAACATTGAGTGTGACCCTTATTGGGTTTTCGACCACCACATCTTCCTATATTTTCAACACCACCTCTTTGGTTGCCTTGGTATGGTCTTCTCTAATTCGACATGTTTCCTTTGTTCTGGTTTCCTCTACCATTCGATTTGTTGTAGCCGCCTCTACCTCTGTCGAACCACTTTCCTTTGCCTTTGGTTTCTTTTGCTGAATGTGCTTGCAAAGCCACATCACTCTTTGACTTGCCTACAGCTATTTCAGTCATTATTTGTTCATGGGATTCAAGCGTCCCTTGAAGCTCTTCCTTTGTCAATTTCGACAAGTCTTTCTCCTCTTCTATAGCCATTACCACGTGGTTGAACTTGGTATCCAAAGATCTCAAGATCTTCGAAACAACAACTCTTGTTGTTAATATTTCTCCACATACCTTGATTTGATTCACTAGTTTTGTAACCCTAGTGAAGAAATCAGATATGCTCTCACTATCTTCCATCTGAAGCAATTCATACATTCTCTTGTGAGTTTGTAACCTCACTTCTTTCACCTTTTCTGCACCACCAAAAGACTTCTCAAGAACCTCCCAAGCTTCTTTTGCAGATTCTGAATTACTCACTTTTTCGAAATTTTCTAGACTCAGACATTGATGAATTATAAAGAGTGCTTTATAACTCAGCTTCTCTGATTCTGTGTGTTTCTTATTTTCTTCTTCTGAAGCATTTTCTCCAAGCGCTTTCAATCCATCCTTTACAAGATCCCAAAGACCTTGTCGCCTGAATAAAACTTTCACCTGTTTGCACCAATTCTCATAGTTGTCTACTTTCGAAATTGATAGAGTTAGTGGATAATTTGCATTCTCATAACTCGCCATCGTGAATTCTTCTTCTTCCTCAACCGTTCTTGATCGATACTTCCCTTAAATTGATTAACCGAGATCTTGATACCAGATGTTGGAAATCCACCAAATATCTATGATGAATTTCTACCAATCTTAATGAACAAGATTGATATCACCACACAATGGCAATGAACTATGAGAAAAGAAAAGAAAGAAGACAATTATTTTCTGCAGAGTTTCTCTCTGCCCACAAACTGTGAAAAAATTTGTTATTCAGTTGCAACTGCAAATTTTGTGAATACAACTTAATTGACTTAATTATAAAATTAGGGGTTACTCCCTCTATTTATAGATTTAGGTTAGCTTACTCCTAAGGCAAAGCCCAAAACTTTAATAGCCCAAAATATCTATTTTAGGTCAAAATTAAATCTATCTAAATCTAAAACAAATCAAATATGTGTGTAGCTTGCTTCGATCCACAAGCTCTTCGTCTGGGCAACCTCCCTTCGACACAATCGAATTACAATTTAACAACTCATACATTCAAATTTTACGAACAATTTAAAAATGTGATCAAAATGTGATCAAATTGGAACTTGACAGCAATTTTCACACTAAACAAACTTGAAATCAAAGTTTCAAACCTCTTTATGTTGGTGATTTTAGTATCACCAATGTATTTTAGTAGTAATGTGATTTACTAAAGGCCGATGCAATTATGCGTTAAGCTTGGAAACGAGTTAGGGAAGTGCGGAGTGCACGCTCGTCGAACCAATGTATAATTGAATATGAATAATTGAAACGGGGTTCCAAGGGGCGAAGCCCCTGGCGGGGTGCGGGGCAGCGCCCCGTTCGAAAATTTTGAATCCTTTTCCCCAACCGACATAACCATTTTTCGGAACAGGTGTGTCTTTTTGGTTTCAGTTATTGATCTCCTATATAAGGAGTCATTTGGCCTCAATTTCGAATACGAAAAACGACACTTTCTCTCTACATTTGTAATCAGTTTCTTTTGCCAGAAACAGATTGTTCTTCGAGAATTATCCCCACAAAGATTTCGTGAACCCATGCAAGAATATGGTCGAAATACTTTATTCAGAAAATGTACGAACACGATTCTTCGAAGTTATCCAAGATTATCATACCAAAATATCTTACACTTTCTTGTAGGCATTAGAGTTCCAATGTGCTTGGAGAGTTCTCTGGCTTCTACGTAATCAATATATTTTAAATTCTAAATGGTCATGTTATATATATAAACTATAAACTATATAAAGTAAAACCATTTTCTTATTAGTTAAAACCTATTTTCATAATCGATTCTGAAATTCTTATGAAAATAATCTGAATGAAATTTTATGGACATTTCATAAATTATTTTTAGATTTAATTGCAATTTTAGTTTTCTTATTTTGATTTTTTTTGTTTAGTTTTGATCCTCTATTTTAAAAATTACGATTTTGATCTTTTTTTTTTAATTTTGTGTTGAATTTCAATTCCGTCTCCAATTTAAAACTTCTTTTTAATGATGTGGCACTCAGTTTACTGACGTGTAAATGTTATATATTTTACATTAATAATAATTATGCCACATCATGTATAATTATTTTTTATTTTAATAATAATTTTATTATTTCAATTTTTTAAAAATTACTTAAACTAAGTTACATTATAATGAATAGTTTTAATAAAATAAATAAAATTAATTTTGAATTATCATGAATTAAATTGAATTAAATTACTAAAAATTAAAATTACCATAAATTAAAATAATTATGACATTATTAAAAATAAAAGCTATCATAAATTTAATTAAATTAGGTGATTGTTAAAAATTATAATTACCAAAATTTATGTAATTAATTTTATTTAATCACATCTAGATATGTTCAAGAATTCAATCCAAAGTTCCCAAAGTTCTAAAAAAAATTAAATAAGATTATATTAGGAGGAAAAAAAGGAACAAGAGGGGGACTAGGTCAAGACCCTCTCAACATTAAGAAAACTTAAAAAAAAAATATATCAAGTCTATTCTTTACAAAATATGTCTTTAAAAACAAAGGAATGGAACTAAAAAGAATTGAATTTGTTACAGTAAGATCTAGGTTAACAAGGGAGTATGCACAACTATTCTCTTCTCTAAAAGTATGAGAAACAACAAAAGACGTATTTCTAGTTATATTAACACAGTTAAGCCATCTCGTGCGAATCTGCCAAGGGACTGAAAAAGGCGGATTGAAAGCAAGGACTAATGCAGCATAATGTGTTTTCAACCAAAGGTTGCGCCAATTCTTCTCATTGGCGAACTCAATTTCCCGTATAGCACCTGGGAGTTCGACAATGAGAGAATTGGAGGACCCCAAAAATTGAGCAAAAGCTCCCAAAAAATTCCCCTCACGATTCCCAACAATTCCACCACACTTCAAGGGACATGGATTGTTTAAATAGGCGCCATCACAGTTGATCTTGATCCAACCGATAGGAGGCAGTTTCCAGATAACTTCAGTAATTTTCAGGATATTAGGAGGTTTAATCTTGACTTTGAAAAATTTAAGCAAAGCAAAATCATTGATGTTGATGTGACCCTTCACATTAGATAGATCACTGGCTAAGGGGCAAGCAGATAAAATAAAAGAAAGAGAAGAGGAGAGAATAATTAATTTGTCCTTGAAACGAGAACTATTACGAGCCATCCAGATTGCATTGAAGATAAAAATCAATGCTACACTAATGATCAACTTACAAAGCTTGGAGCAAGGTTTGTTGGAAAACCTTCATATATCATCCCAATCAAGAACAACCGAAGAATAGTTCAGCATCGAGCAGAGTCAAGCCCAAAGAGAGGCAGTAAACGGGCAGTCAAAGAACATGTGTTGATCCGTTTCTTCAGCTAGACCGCACAAGCTGCACATGGACAGAAAAAGAAACCGATGAATTTTGAGCTGCTCATCAATATGAAGCTTTCGCAAGATGAGCCTCCAAACTATGAAAGATTTAGAAGGAGGTATGTGCTTGGACCAAAGAATATAGTGCCACTTAATGGTATCACTGGGAGTGCATTTAAAAGAATATGTCGTCTTTAAGAGATAATTCACCCGAAGATGAATGCTTCCAAAGTCTTTTATCCGGTCTAATGTCAAAGGGTATGAGCACATTGAGGATTCGAACTTTGATATAATCCAGGACATAATTGAGATTCCAGCAGTTGTTCTCAATGAAACCAAAGTTCTAAATAAAAATGAAGAATAACAATGTCACTATTAAAATATGCAACATCAAAATATAGGAAAACTGCAATATTTATGCATCCAGAATAACAATATGTACATATCCAGAATAAATATATCAGTTTCTTCAAAAATATTTATGATAACTATTTTCACCTCACATATTTTATCATATTCAGATATTAAGACACTCCAATAAACTACAATTAGACTAGGAATTTCTTTGAACATGTGCCTCGAATATACAACATTAATGTCGTCGCCGCCCAAAAATCTGGAAACAAAAAGAAGATATCTACATCTATGATGACAACCTTCATCTTTCGCTCATCTTCGTCGAAGAGAGAATACCAGATACCACGATGCATCAATCTAAATGAAATGGGAGAAAATAAGAAGATAGATAAATAGATTTGAAAGGAGAAGTAGAAGGAGACAGTGTGTAGAGACCCATCTCTGAAAGAAGAAGTAGAAAGAGACAATGTATATGTGCTTAGATCTGAAAGAAGATGTGAAGAAGAAAATTATGAGTAATGGATCTCATATTTCTTCCATTTTTGTTATTTTCTTTTTTGTAAAGCAATGTGTTGGTGATTGTCAGAAATTTAACAGTGGTCTCGTTGGTGATTGTTTCGTGAAAGAGAGGAGGAAGATGATTGTTTTCTCTCCTTTCTGATTCATGAGCGAGAAAGAGCGATGAAGAGGCTTTTCTTTAGCTTTTGATTTGGAAGAGAGATAGAGGAAGTCATCCTACGAGAGAAGAAGAGATTAGATTTTTGAAATAAGAGATTGGATTTATGAATTATGGTTTTTAATTAGTTGATTTATTAAAATAGAATAGATAAGTGGAAAAAATACAAATAATCATGTTTTGAAAAAGAAAAAAAAAATCATATTTCGGAGAAAATTATGCAAATAATCATGTTTCATAAAACATTATAATGCAGTCGCCATCTCAGATGACACATGTCTTGCTTTTTATAAAGGAGACGCCAAGTGAGATGACGCCTAGGTGCATGTCATTTGTCCTAAGTCATCTCAGATGACGCCTAGATGCAAAGTTCTTTTTTATTTTTATTTTTATTTTTATTTTTGTTAAAGAATTAAAAGGCAATATAGTTGCAAATGAAATTTGATTTTCAATAAATTAAACGATTACATGATAAGAATAAAAATTACACATGATTTAGTTGTCTCCAGGGACTCGATAACGATCCGTAGTTCCGCACCCGCGTCCTCGCCTAACTCGTAGTGCATTTTGACATATTTATTATTGCGGTTGGGTCGAGGGTCCTACAAAGTCAATACATTCAGGATCCATGAAAGCTGTCAGATCACTTTCGTGGGAGGTTGATAGCACTAGTCGTTTGAATAAGGGGGTAAAAAGGAAATGAATCTTGTGAGGTTTGGTACTGTGATTGTTGGGTGTTATTGTGATAGGATGGCTGATGGTAAATTGGGTTAGTTGGTGAATATTATATAGGTTGGCCAATGTTTAGGCTAAGTTGAGACGACGAGGGGCCCACATCAGGATATCATATGTATGATCGTTGTTCTTGGTACTATGATTGTGTGTGAGGCATGTGTGTGTATTGGAATTGGTCTTGAGTTTGGGATTGGGTGCTGGTGGATCTGTATCGTCGTTGTGTTTGATGGGAGGTTGATGCGTGTTGGGTTTGTTGTTGGGGTTGTTGTTGTGTGGTGTATGATTGTGCCTATTGTGTGTGTGGGTCAATCAAATACCTCGAGTGAGACACATGCATTTTAGGGTTAGAAACCGATATGTACCAATCAATATACTGATTTGTGTGTTGCATATTAATTTGGTTGTGGAAAACAGGAAATTGTAAGACATATTAGTGACGCCTACGCCACATCTTACACCATTCCGAAGCCAAATCTTTCCAATTATTAACACCCCATTGGACGTCAACCCTTTTGAGATTCCAAGGTGACAAAGAAGTTGGATCACATGGTATTTATTTATGCATTCTGAACTGCATCTTGACACGGTCACTGTGGTGCATCTCCATAATGTTGAACCGTATGATTGTAGTCTTTGCAGTCTAAACGACTGCATCCTCGGGGTTTGGTTCATGGTCCAAACCCAACTATGGTCTCGAGATAAACTGTGGATAAAAATTAATCAGAATAATAAAAACGTTAAAAATAAATAATTTAAAAGTAGAAAAGTTTAGAGGTACCACGTACATCATCCGGGCCAAGGTAATCCAAAAGATTATGGTATAGAGCGACATTGAATCTTGGATTCTTGCTGTAATCCACACCCCTTACATAGTACCTAAAGGAATGAAAAAAATAATTAATTTTATACATCTATTTGGCGAAAGGATGAATAATAAATTATTTAAGATATTGACTTACTTTGTTGCGCAGGGGAAAATGAATGCATTATTGTTGATGGGGTTTAGGGACTCAATTCTCTACCAACCCCATGCTTGAAGCAAGAAAGCACATCCAAAAAAAGTATATTTTTTTGTTTGTTGTGTTTTTATATAATGAACTGTATAGTTGGGCTAAAACAACAGAACTCCAACTATACTTTCTTGTTTTATCAAAGTTCCTAAGCAAACTTAAATACATAAAATTTACACCATTCCTTGTACTTTCGAGAAATAACAGGCTTCTAAATAGTATCATAATATGATTTCTAGCTTTAATTATTTTTGCCTCGTCAGTCAAATTTTCATTCAACTCAAGAGTCTCATAATGCTTTTTAAGTACAGTTAGTAATATACCTTGGCCCCTAGTACCAGTTGCTTCTACCATATCTTTGCCCAACAATTCCTCGCATATAAAATTAGGTTATTGAACCGACCCATTCACCGTCTTACCATCGATAAGGAGACCCAATAACATATACATGTCTTCTAGTGTGACAGTACATTCATCTATTGGTAGATGAAAGATGTGTGTCTCGGGTCTCCACATTTCAAACATTGCAAGAATAAATTTAGAATCAATCGTGCAGTTAGAGATTTTTATAACATTTCCAAAACTGATATATTTTAGATATGGGACGATAAACGAGCCCGGAGCAATGTAGTTGTGTAAGCGGCATTTAAATATTTTAGTATCCTAAATTCAAAATGTAAACAGTGTAAGAGTTTATAAAATGTCTAAAATAATTAATTTATAAAATCCATATATACGATAAAAGATTATATAAAATGATAAAAACTTGCAAACGCAACAATGTTTTATCTTGTTCCTCTGTGAGAATCACCCATTGTGAGAAGAACCATATTTGAAATTGCATACACTATGCCAAACAAGCGCATAAACATCGCTTTTTTTTTGCCATAGACAATGCTTTAAAGCGCTGCCTAAACTAGCACTACTATAAGAAAAGGCAGCGCTTTAAATTAATGTAAAAGCGCTGCTATATGTGTAACACCCCGTTTTCAATTAATTGATTTATTTAAATTTGGGAATTTATTTTATTAGAATTAATAAAATAAAAAGAATTATTTATTTTGGAGTATTTGAGGAAAATAAAAGAAATAAGGAATATTGGGATTTTTATGTTATTGGGCTTAGATGTTGTTAGTAAAGAGTGGGGGTGCAGAGAAATAAAGTTATGTTTGGGACTTAGGCCATTTTCTCATTTTTGGTTTCCACGTAAGAACAGAAGTTAGAATTTGGGAAAATAGAGCTCTGAAGGTACGAGGAACGGAGAACGAAGAACACCGCCCAAGAACTCAAAGCTGCTAATTGATAAGGTAAGGGGGGTTTATACTCGATTTATATTTGTTTATGGGTTTATGTACGGTTGATTCGGGTAATTGTAGGAAAATCCCAATTGTTAGATGTTTCTAGGGATCGATAACCGTAGGACTGAACCTTGTTAGAAAAGGGTTAGGTTCCCAATTCTTATGAATCGATTAAGAGTTTTAGGTCCCAAATGAGGAATTGGGATATGATCGTGAATTTACCTTGGAAGTTGTAGGGATAACCTTAGTGTCAGTAGAATTCCCCAAAAGGACGGTTAATCCCCGATTAAGGTTATTATAATAATTGTTGGTAACTTGGATATTGTGGTGTTGTTGTGAATTGTACAAACTCGATGTCGTTAGGTACTGAAATGCGCGTTTTGGCGGACGTTTTCCCGCGTTTGGACTGCTGTTTCTGAGCTGCTGCAGGTTCAGGAAAATCCTGTACGCGCTCAGCAACACGGGCCGTGTTGCACAACACGGGTGCCCGTGTTGCTCTTCTGTGTTGGGAGATGGTGTGTTCTGGTTGCACGACACGGGCCGTGTTGCACAACACGGGTACCCGTGTCAGATCCCCTGTACTGATAAAAATAAAATGTGCGTTTTTCTGGACGTGCTGCACAACACGGGCCGTGTTGCACAACACGGGCACCCGTGTTGCTCTGCTGTGATGATTTTCTGAATTTTTGGTTTCAGTGTTTTGATGTTGGATTTTTATTGCCATGCTTTTAGATATGTTATCGAGCATGAATTATGATATAATTGATGTGATTGGTTGATGTTTGAATAGTATGCTGAGTGATTACATGCTATTCGTAACTTGATATGATTGATGTTTAAATGGTATGCTGAGTGGTTACATGCTATTTCATATCATGTTATGTTTGATATTGTTGATGTGCATGATATGTTGATCGATGTTCATAGTATGCTGAGTGTTACATACTTACATATCATGTTGCATTTGTTAATTCCCATTGTGTGGAATTAACATGGTGGCCAATATACGTGTCCGCGATTTAATGGAATGTTGAGGTGGTAGCCGTGTCCGCGATATAATGGAACGGTGAGTTATCCGTGACCCGAGATTTAATGGGGCGGTGAAGTGGTACCACATGCATGGGTGTGTTGCATTACTCGAATATAACATGAATGGATGATTTTTCCAATGTTATATTTGATTGTTTGTATGCACGTATGATTTGATAAATGGTCGATGATGTTGATGAATATTTGCAAATATGAAAGGCAATATGTCATGGATATATGAATTGTAAAGGTTTTGTAACTATGAAATATGCTAATTATTGGGTGATGCTTATGATTTCGTGAATTGATTGTTATGAATGTATAACCAAATGTATATTTGAGAAGCTCACCCTTACTGTTGAATATTTCAGATTAAGGAGCTTCGTTCAGGTGCTTGTCGAAGGCTTATCGTGTCTAGTTTAGTTTCGTTTTAGTATGTCCGGGTCATGCTCTGATAGTTGTAACTCCGGGAACGTTTGGTTGTCGAGCTGCTTTAGTCAGACTCGTTTATTCCCTTTTTATTTGTTATGATATGATGTTGACTTTCCAGGTGTTAATCCCTGATGATTTGGAAATTATTATAACATTTGATTTTATTAATTTAAGTATTCCGCTGTGTAAACATGTATGAGTTACTACTAAAATTATGCATGACAGGAATTTATTTTATTAAAAGAGAATTGTAGCATTCCTCGATTATTACATGTACTCTGAGTTTATGATTTTTAATATTTGCGAAAATTATATGCGGGGTTTAGAGGGTGTTACAATAGTGGTATCAGAGCATAGTCGGTCGTTGTGACCAGAGTCTTGAGTCAGTCATTCCTTTTCGTATGCGACTAGTGCAAGGCAACACTGTCGATACTGTATTCTGATGTGGAGTATGTTTTAATTCTCAGGAATATGGCTGGAG